CTAATAATGTAGGGGTGTCCTAGATATTACATGAGATTCGTGGAACTCGATTAAGTGGAATGCCTACTACTGTGCACCTTGGCGATAGAGGTTCGCCTTCTATTTGGCATAATTTTTTAAACACATTAAATAAATATAAAGAAAGCAAGGATAAGGTAAAAACTTGAAAGTGGATGGAAAATTTGGCCTCAAACTATTTGTGCATAGACTGTGATCTGAAAAAAAGATCGCTCTTACACATTGGCTATGCAATGCCAGAGCAAAGTAGATTATTTCATTTAATACTATATGCCGACTCACTTGATGTTGCAGAGTCTGAAGTCGAATCGGTCTTACGTTGTGCCAGTTCTGCCATTAGGTTTCGAGCAATCACAGCGTCCGCTCCAGCCGCGTCCTCGTCTACGTCTGCTAAGCTATAGTACGTCCACTTTGCGGAGTCACGTAAAGTTCTTGAAGGGCGAACCGAGCGTCGTTGGGGTGCCCTGCCAAGAGGGCGAGAAAACTCACCAGCCTCACTCGATTCTGCCATAACCAAAGTTCTACGCAAAGTGGGTCGTTGGTAGGGTTCGTGTGTGCCGAGCCGAGCGCGATCTGACAATCGTTTAGATAAAGGTTTCTGGCTCAAGAAGTCAGCAGCGACAGAGTCATCCCTCTGAATCAGAATTCCACCAAATAAACAAGGGAAATATGAAAAGGAATGAAAGAACATTTAATAACCTTCCCTAGAAGCCTTAAATGATAGACGAATAGGACCGGATGTGGTATTTTGAAAAGTGATGCATCGTGGGCAGGATGGTGATATACTGAAGTAATTCCCAGGCACATCCACAAATAATAGGACTGATAAAGATAAGTAGATCCTCAAGTAACCGCAATTGTCTGGAAACAATTAGCCTGAATCACTAATACTGCCGAACAAGAGTAAAAAAGTTTAATGACTGCATCTTAAAAAAATAGATACTTCATGAGTGAGCGAAGTACGTTCTGTTAGCTCCAGGAGATGCGAGAGAAGGCTTAAGAAAATGATATGAGATGTGATGAGAAAATGGATTTAG